ATATTTAATATCTTATAAGCCAGTGGTCTCAAAGTACCAGCCTGCGGGGCAATTGCGGCACGCGAGCCGGTACTCTGTGGCCAGCAGCCAGCTCACAAGTCAGGTACACGGTCACGGAACGCGTACCAGACTTGCGGGTGCTGTCGGATGCAGACTGCAAATCTGCTTCTGTGCCAGCACTCGGATTGATTAGTGAGGTCTGCCGCAGACCTTACCAATCAATCATCAGAGATCTTGCCTTCTCACAGCCTCCTCCCTGCAAAATGGTAAGCAGGAGAGGGGGCTCTGTATTATATTTTACATGTGGGTGTGTAGGGGGGACTGGGGCTGTACTATTTTATATGTGTGTTGGGGGAGACTTGGGGTGTACTATTTTATATGTGAGGGGGAGACTGGGGCTGTATTATTTTATATAAACAGGGGTTGTTGTTTTATGTGTACGGGGGGGGAGTGTGACAGGCGCTGCATCTAAACGCCGACACACCGCATGTAATGATATGTGATATGATTACATGCAGTTAGAAAACACTCACCATGCACAATCCATGAGTCCAGGGATAGTGACAGATTCCTAACCAAATGTAATCATATTGCATGCGGTGTGCAGGCGTTTACATGCAACGGCTATCACTTGATCATTAGCTTGAATGGGTGACAGCTGCCGCTTGTGAACACCAGATTAGGGATTCCTGTTACAGGAAAACGCAAGTTCCTGACACAGGAATCCCTAATCACACCTAAACCTACACATATGAATAAGGCCTTATTGTATCTGTAATAGTGTCCGTAGTACCATACCAGATATAGTTAAATTTTATTTTCAAATATGAAATTAGGCGGGCAGCCCCCATAAGAGAAAAACATTTGTCGAGTGGCCCCCAAGTGAATTGAGTTTGAAACCCCTGTTATAAGAAATGCTTATTTTATCTTCTAGTTTACCTTTATATTTCTTTTACTATGGAAGTTAGGAGTTTATGATAAGAGAGAAAATGTTCATGTATTAGAAAGATGTACTGTATATTTTCTTTTTTTGTGCAGACACACACTTACCAAATGTAGACTTTACCAAAACTTTGTCCCTAATGTAGAGATCATACAATGTAAATTTCTCCCACTAATATTTATATAGGATTTAGGCTATCTTTTGCAGAAGAATGTGAGGCAAAATTTTAGAAGAATGATAGATGTCTCTATCGTTCCTTTGCTGACTTTTATTATGTTATCGAAGTCTGATCAAAAAGAAGACTTTGTGATCAAGGCAATGTGGGATTAGTTGATGATTGAAAATAGATGAATTGTCAAAATAATCAATTCTCTAAAGCATTTGTATGGATGGATTCCACAGAAAGCTGTCCCTCAGCAGTATATGGAGGTTATGGAGGTTTAAAGCATTATTTAATCATACATATGCTTGAACTAAACACTTAACACATGACCTGATCTAAAACTGGTGAATAACACCCTGGATGGCCAAGACATGCTGTGACAATGTGCTATCCTATCTTTAGTATCCAATGAGAGAAAGACAGAAACTGAGTTATTTTATTTGTTGAGTTCTGGTACCAATTCACAACTAAAGCCTACAACCTAGCTACCACGATAAGAAAAAAAGAAAAACACACAGCACAAAATATGAATGGTGAGACATACAAGACAACCTAAATGGGTTGGCTAATGCTTGATTAGACACATGCTATCCCTGTGTCTGTATTGCTGTCACAATGCCTTCGAGGCAATAAGGTATACTGCTAATGATTATTCTAGCCCTCTTTTCCTTGGTTATTATAATTATATTGATCTTTTTAGTTTCAATAATGAAACACAGTTTGTATGGATGCAAAGCGTTTTGTTTTTGCAGTATGATTCTAAATAAAAAATATTTTTAAAGACTTATTTATATAGTGTATTGTGGTAATGAATGATGTCCTATTAGCAAGTAACAGAACTTCGGATTCATATATGTATAAAAAACAAAAATATCATGCATCTGAAGATTTTTTGACCTTTACTAACACTGACTCACATAAGCATACAGTATATACCCTTTAAGGATTTAAAAAGTCAGCTACCAATCAGAGCTGCTGCAAACAGGTAGAAGCAGGCGACAGAATGTGATGGGACTTGGACAGAGCCTGTTTTAATGGGGATACCTGCTTTGTCACAGAGAATATGATGAAACATGTATAAGCAGAGGCAACCATCAGTGAAAAAAGCATGTCAAAGTGATCAGTAGATCCAACAACATAGTAAACTTTAGTTAGATACAAACCTTGACTTATCCTGTAAACATAGAGCTTTCCAGCTCCCCTCACTCCCACACAAACCGCCTACCAATCCTCCCTACAGATTGTTTAATGTGAAATGTGACCTATAGGGAAGCTCTGGATTCTGGCGGGTGAGATGGGGCTGAGCTGCATTTTCCAGAAAAGTGAAGATTTGTATATAAAATAGGCTTCTTATATCTCTGAATCCCTGGTCATTTTTACATTGTACATTAGGTAATGTCTATTGATACATTTTTGCAACTTATTCACAGTTTAATCATGAAAGGTTTGCTTTGTGGTTTATATAATATGCAGATTTCAATGATCAGCTTACAAGCAGATATCCTGGAATCAGCTTTAATATATGTGTATTCTTAATGCAGAAAGCAACATAATATTTCATTAAAGGATTTTGCAACCATTTACTTTCAGTTGGACTACAGTAATGCCAGACCTGGGGTTAGACAACATGTGCTTGAAGAAGTCCTTTCTGGGAACATTGCTGGGAACTGTAGTGTATTTTGGTGCATCTGCAAGGCACAGTATATTCCTGTTAAAGTGACACCAAACTCAAGAGTTAAATCTTAAAAATGCATTCAAGTACCCTAACTAATATCACTCCCGTGATTGACTACAATCTCAATACAAATTAGTAAACTAAACTTGAGATTGTAGTCCATCACAGGAGTGAGCTTGGAGCAGTGGCTACTTTACAACACACACAGGGACCTTGGGGAACAAAAGTAGCCAACCTCCAGAAGGAAGGACAGTGTCAGCACCAATTCAGAGATGATTTGAGGATCTACAGCTAAGTGATACACAAATAAGATACATATTTGTCAATAGTTAAGGTACTTGAAAGCATTTTTAAGATTTAAAGGAGAACTAAGAGGTGAGTGATTTTCACTCAACCTCATAATTCGAGCTGACGTATGACAATTAAACTGTCACACGTCAGTTTAATAGATCGGGAAGTGAGCGAACACATACCGTTGCTGTCTCACTTCTCAATCACGTCCCTGCAGAGAGCCGTGACTTTCACTCACGGCTCCGTGCAGGGATTCCCCCACTACCCGCTCCTATCCTCAAGCACTGACTGGCGGAACAGATGGGGGAGGGTACAGCTGACTCTGCCTCTAGATAGGCAGATCCAGCTGTCAATCACGCAGCTGGGTGGATCTCGACAGTAGGGATCCGTCCCGGCTGCGGAAGTCTCAGTATACCGCGAGTTGTAGCTTTGGGTGACGGGAGGAACGCTAGTTTATGTCCTCCCATGACCCTTAGGAGATTTATGGGGAAAAGCACTGACCCCATAGTTCTCCTTTAACTCCTGAGTTACTGTCACTTTAACCTGGAGATCTGCTTCAGCTCTTATTATAGCTTAAATTACATTGTGGCAACACACCTAGCTGTTAGAAGAATTACCAGGTGCTCATTAAAGGAGAACAGAGGCCATTGTCACAGGTCGGCTAGAACTATGAGGTGAGTGAAAAGCACTCACCTCATAGTTCTCCTTCAAATAATTGAGGCAAATACAGTATTTTGTGTGCAATGCATGTTTGTTCCTTTTGTGTTTTTTTTTATTTTATGAATTACTTTTTATTTTTGAGCTAAACATTGATTTAGTAGGCATGTACTGAATGATGCGTGAATAAGTATTATGAATACAGAGCTACAGTTGCAATTGAACAGATGATGTGAAATGAAAACAGAGGATCTCCAAATGCCACAAACAGAATACAGCTATATGTCATATTTCAAAGAGCTCAAGCAGTGAAAATGCACAGTGGTCAAATTAACATGGTTTACTATTTCTGGTTCTCTAAATATCACACATTCTTAAAGGAATTTTTTAACCCTTTAACAGCACAAAAACATACCACACATACAATACATTTTGAATGTGGAATGAGGTAATGAAGACTTACATCTTCTAATCATTGGCAAAATATGTTGTTTTTTTAAAAAAGAATTTCCTTGCACATAATTGAGTATTGTTTGCAAAGTGACTGTTCACCATATTCACTAAGCTAAGCGAAAAATCACTTGCAAAATGAAAATTCCCTTAAAAAGTGCACAGCCTATTTGCCTTTAGTAAATCAATCCCTGACTCCCCACCCACAATTTACCTCCATAAATCTAACTTTTGGACTACTGTAAAGCAGAATGATAGACTATGCCGTTTCCTTAACTGAGTTATATTAGAATGATTTGATAATTAAGAAATAATTGCCTGCAATGTGAATCATAAGAGAACCAAGAGGCTTTTCAACCATACTAAGCGGGGGTGACTAAAGCCTGCTCCTACCAACTCCTATATACATGTAACCCACACAGGAACATTATTTGTTTTGCAGCTTGGCTTGTGGGTTTCTCTGGGAAATCCTTATTCCGAAAAAAAAATCTACATAAGAACAAAAACCAATACATATAATCATAACAGATAATAAGGTAATGATAGCTCCTCAGAGCAGAGCAGTGCCTTTTTGTCTTAATTACTGGAAGAATGGAATTGTAAAACAACAGGATCTTTAATAATTCACCCAGAAGATACAGCCTTGTGCTTTTACAGCAAAGCTGGATATCAAACTTGAATGTCTAAGGTCAATAGTCTTAGAGAGCTAATGATAGGTAATGAGAAGCATACATTATTAAAAGCATAAGCGAATAAGTCAAGCGCAAACACATGATCACAGAGGTGCAAGGGATTCTGGGATTATAAACATGGACACTGACCTGTGCATCTTCTCAGATTCCCTTGGAGAAGAATCTTCTTCTTCATCAGTGCTGCAAGATTTTGACCTGGATTTCGAGGTTCTCTGCAGAAAAATCGGTAAACAGATATTGAATGGCAAAGTAGAAAACGTATGTGTTCCATTTCAAGGAAATACCTGGTGTTGTAGACTTCTGGGAATAAAGGAAAATATTTATTCTAACACAAGGAAAAACAAAGAATTAAAATAAAAAATAACAATGAAATGTATTGGTTGATCCACACGGGTCCTGACCTAACTAATCTTGCTCGTGGAAGGTATTGGGTGGGTATTTAAAGGTTTACCATATGTTGTATTGAATTGTTAGATACGTGATCTACCCACAAAGAAGCAAACATTGAATGGGGGTGGAACAGATTTTTTTCTACTTTTTTTTTCATAGCTCATCTCTTAAATCAAATAATATACTTTACACTGATAGCAAAAATCTGAAACTTGCATAAACACAGAACACCAACCACACCAGTGGTCAGTCAGTCTATATGATGAATATTGTTGTCTCTTTCAAGTTCTGCGTCACCAGAAAGCACCAAAACCAATTGAATGAAGATAGTAAATATATTTAAAGCAGAAATACTGCAGAATTTTTCTTCAGACACCAATATATTCACATACAACTTTAAAAACTTTGCAGTGGTATAGTAGGGAAGGTTTCCAACCCCCAGCCCGGTTTTTACAGCTGCCTTTAGTTCTGCAGGGAGATCTTCTCACATTCTATCCCTGCAACAATATTCACCAGGACAGGAAATAAGGGAAAATCTCCCCAGTAGGAACTCAAACAGTTTTAAAAAACCAACAAAGGTCCCAGCTCTTCCCTGTTTTATCTAAAAAAAGACCCTTTGATTGGAGTAGTGCATAAAAGTAGAATACTTAGTATATCTGCAGCATTCTTTGGGGTGATCATAAATGTTATGCCTATATTCTCTTCCGTTTTAGTCAGCATGGCCACATGATGTTTTTAATGTTTTAATGTTCCAGTGCTGCTGTTTTATTCATAAATGGACCCTCTAAAGGTTTCTAAATAACCATATTTCTAGAATAACAGTGTGTTCTAAATGGCAGGCATGTTTTGTTAGATTTGTATCTTTACATTATATAGCAATAATAAACCTCTATCATATGTGGTCCGTTTCATACAGAATGAAAACTGCTTACCTTGTGCTTTGCAATATTACCCATTGATGACCTTTTGGATTTCCCTCTATCTTTTGTATCTGAATTCTGTATAATAAAAGTAGAAAGAAATAAAGAAAAACAAATTGCCTAATGGATAATATACACATTTTTTTTAAAAGATAACATTTATTTTACTTATATAAAAAAAAACACAGTAATAAACCACATGAGTGCAGCCAGACCAGGTTTCTTGATAGGCTATGAAGCTGGCTCCATGCTGCTTTGCAGCACTGCCATCAGAGGGAATCTCCCTCTGACTGGAAGCTCTGATATCGGGGTAAGTATAGGAGCATTTAGGCGAGTACGAGTACTCACCCAAATGCTCAGTATTGGCACTGATACTGATACCAGTATCGGTGCATCCCTGATGTTTTCTATTTTGTATAATAAAATATGGGTTTATGAGATTTGCAAATGATTAAATCCTGTTTTTATGTAGATTTTACACAGCGTCCCAACTTTTTTTGAATTGGGGATTGTACTGTCTATTTTATTGTGAAACATATCCACTGTAATTTCTTTTGTCCTCCAAAACTGCATGAGGGGTTTGGTTTACCAAATGAGGCCTACAAGCAGTGGTTGAAATGATAACTATACAGTGTGCACAATATTACTTCCTTTTTAGTGTAAAGAATACACTTTATTGTGAATATTTGGCAGTTGCATGCAGTGTCATTTTTAAAATATGGCTTACTCCAACTGCTAAAATACTGACTATGTAGGCTGTACCATATTTCTTTCTTTTTTTCTGTGACATATACATACACTTTTGATTTTTGGAAACAAAATCTGGATGACATATGTCCATTTTTAAAATGGGACCTACTCCAACTGCTTCAGTGCTGACTATGGAGTCTGTACAATATTTCCCCTAATGTCTCCCAGTAATAAGACTGGCATAGTGTATGTAGAGTGTGTACTATATTTCCGGCTGCTGTCTCTGAAATAATAAGCTCTAACTTGTATTTAATAATAAAACCTAAAATGCAGCTTAATCAAGCTTTCATACTGCCAAGCCTGTGTACTATATATGTGCTTTTGTCTCTAAATTATGGCACTGCAATTTATATTCCAGCCTGGCTGCCTTATCTCTTGAATGAGGGGCCGTGGTTTTGAAGTGTTTTTTGCACTCTTATTTGACATTTTGTTAAACGTTTTAGACAATACAGTGTGGTACTGCATGAAACAAAGATCAAAAGCAATACTATGAAACTATTTGCCCCTGTTAGGCAATTGGTATATAGTTGAGGACTTCAGCTTAATTTAGTTTTTTGCAGTGTAAAGTTTCTGATAGCTTTTAGATCTGTTGTGGCTACTACTCCCACCACTCAGTTCTGCCCTATTATTGCTAGACAAAAAACACAGGTGCCACAGCAAAAACTACCCCAAAACACTGTTTTCAGGCTAAAGTTAAACATACTGGGGTGCTGCTGATGTATCTGAGCCAAGTGATAATATAAAAGAAAGAAAATCTGTTTTACATGCTAAAAATCTGATTCTAGAATATGGTGTCGCTGATACTGTCTCTAAGAATCATACTGGAAAATAACACCTCATACAGCTTAAAAGCATTTCCCAAGCATGTAATTTGAAGGATCAGTGCTTTTCCCATTTCACTCTTAAAAGTTGCAAAAAAGGAGGGCCCTCTCCCTACTAAACAATATTTTTTACAATTTCATCTTCAATGATACATGTTTTCCATAGCCCAGCTCTCCTTTCCCTTCATTTTACAATCCCTTGCCTG